CCCCGAAACCCCAAAACCCCAAAACCCCAAAACCCCAAAACCCCGCAGCGATGCTAGAAGATTGATTTAATTTCTATTATAATTATTCAAGATTATTATGTCTGAAGAGAACAAACAAGAGGAGTTTGATTTAATAGGCAATATTCTTTCTGACGAAGGTGAAGATTGCTCTCCCTCTAAGGAAAAAGAACCAGAGGATCATAAATAGCGTTAACTCTTTAGCTATGGATAAAAGTATTTCTGCTCCTGTCGATGAGATAAAGAACAAACTTGGAAGTAGAGAAAAGCATTCCCACAGTCCTCAAAAATCATATGTAAATTTTAATCCAAATGGATACGCACATCATCAGCATCAGAATATGAACTTTGGATCTTATTCTCCAGAGATACCTAAATGTAATTCGAGTCTATATCCTGATGAATATTATTCTCATCAAGGAAGTCAATGGCAGATGCACAACCCTCCGGCTGTCAATATGAATAGTAAGGAATAAAAATCTTCTTTCCCTCTTAAATATTTCCACACTTAAAATTAGAATTAAATTGTGGCAGCTCTGATGTTTGTATTTATAGCAACTAAACAGCCAGGACATCCTGGACACTATCAGCCATATACGATGCAGGCATATCCTCAAAACATGGGTAAGTTTTAAATAAAAATGTGGTTGTAAAGTTGTGCGGTTAACTCATGCTACTTTTAGGCTACTACATGCCGACAAGCATGCCGATGTACAAAACCGCCAGTGGTCATCCTCCTCATGCAAGCAGAAAGTATTCTGAAGGAGTAGCCTTGCATGGAAACTACCTTGGAATGCAGAAATCGAATACTGAGTTCAAGCCAAGTGCTTTTCCTAAGAAGAACAATGGAAGAAAGAGAGTATTTAGTTCGATTGAGACTAATGCTATGTTTGACAACAAGTTTGGCAAATTTTCTGGGAATCTGAGTAACACAAAAGACAGTAGTACTTCTTCTAATAATAAATATGCTTCTCCACCGAGGAAAGGGATGCCGGGAAACCAATCATTGGATCCAAAATCTCCTTATCTCATAAAATTAAGGAAATGCATTAAAGATAAAGAGGAAGAAGATCTGACGTTGGAAAACTTGAAAGGCCATGCGTCTGAAATTTCAAGGGATCAGGTTGGCTCCAGATTCATCCAGAAAATCTATGAAGCCAACTGTAAAGTATCTTCAGATTCGCTTGGAGACCTGATAAATGAAATAAAGGAAGATTCATTGAATATAATGAAGGATGTCTTTGGAAATTATGTTATCCAGAAAATATTACAATTTGGGCCAGAAGAGCACATCCAGACACTTTTCAATGAGATAAAAGGCCATATTCTCGAGATGAGCAAACATATTTACGGATGTAGGGTTGTTCAAAGGTTCATAGAAGTTCTTAATCAAGCCGATCAAGCTACTATTTTATCTGAGTTAGAGGGGTCTGTAATGGAATGTATCTATGATCAATACGGAAACCATGTCATCCAGAAGATTCTCAAAGAAGGCCACTCCGATACTAAAGTTGATTTTATTCAAAGTCATATTGAGGCAAACATTGCACCTCTGTGCATGCATATTTATGGGTGAAGAGTAGTCCAAAGATTTTTAGATAACTTTCCTTCTCACTGTACCGATCCTATTTATGATGAAATTGTAAAGAACAATGTCCTAGAGCTGAGTAAAGACCAATATGGAAATTATGTTATCCAACTAATTCTAGAGAAGGGAGTTAGGACCCAAGATAGAAAGGCTATCTGCCATTCCTTGTTGGGAGAAGCCAGACTTCTTAGTGTACATAAATTCTCATCAAATGTTGTTGAGAAATGTATCCAATTTTGCGAGCAAGAAGACAAGGACCTTATCACCAAGGAATTGCTCGGAGACAAGCTTGAGGAAAGTGAAAAGGAGAAGCATAGTATTTACTGCATGATGGACAACAAGTATGGAAACTACGTTGTTCAGAAGGCGATTGAAGAGGCTACACTAGAGCAAAGACTTGCTTTTTCCCAAAAAGTAAAGAACTCTTGATCATCTCCCTCAAATTATGTCAAGCATGTGATAAATTGTCTTGATAGACTTAATTTATCCCAATGCCAGGATAGTTCATCCTCTTCTGGAATTGTACATACCAACCAGAAGTAAATAAAATCCTTGATAAATAGATTTTTGAATACAAATTGAGGTTAATATTACGATCTCCATTGGGTCTATTTCCTCTTAAAATTTTAAATTGCCTTCAGTTTAGTCACGGTGAAACGGGGTTTTGGGGTTTTGGGGTTTTGGGGTTTTGGGGTTTTGGGG